ATTTTGCCACAGGACCACCTGCCAGGCCTATCGGGTCCGTATATCTCTGAAGTCGAATCGACGAGACTATTTTTTCAACTTCTAGAAATTTTTCCCTAGTCTAGGAAGTTTCCAAAATTGTCACGAACTCCAACCTATTGCTGGTCAACTGGTCTATTGCTGGCTAGCTGCCGATACGATATCGTTGCCAATATCCGTGCCAGCTATCCCCCTAAACTCAATGTCACTGGAGGGACCGGCGGGGGTCTATCAGAGAATGAATTGTTTACTAGGGCCGGAACTCCGCTCGCGTTCCTGACTATGGCACGTATCGATAGTATGCCTGGAGAGAGTGAGGGGCGATGGAGGGGGAGAGATGCTGGTACTTCATAATATTGGATTCTGAGCCAGGGAATAATGTCAGAACCCGCGTGACCCGAGCCGGCGCGATACGCTTGTTCTAGTTTTCAACTAAATTCCTGAGCTCTCTCTCTTTTCCATTTCAGTATTCTCTTTTGCTCCCTTAACTTCCTACGGAAATTTTATTGGTACCACGTCGTGCTCTCAACGATGATTGGAGAGTGGTTGTCACGATGCTGTTTTATTACTAAATTCGATTGATTTCTAACACTCGGGGGTTAGCCTCTTCGGGGAGGTCGCATTTCTAACCTGGTAATGGGATCATCCCGGGGGTTCTCTTGAACTTTAGGAAAGTTGAATGTGTCTGTCGGTCTGAATGATCCGCGTGATATCAGGGGTGGGAAATAGCAGGCAGACGGGTTGGCGGCCGCCACAAGTGGTTGGGACGAACGATGCCAGCCGAATTGCTGCCGGAAGGGTTTGGAGGGCTAAGAGTGCGTCCGTGAGGGATCGAACGCAGTACCTGCCTCTTAAAAGTATATCAACAGACTCCCCTCGACCTGGACTCGATCAGCAGCTATGAAATCTTGCTTGAAACCCACCCCGCACGAACTCGATATCCCACTTGTTTGTGGCTCCCGACGCCGACCTGGTCCGTATTCGCTGCTTCGATCGACGTCTCCAGTATTTTCGGCGCCCACGCCGACCCTTGGCGTTCGTTGACGTTTATCCAGATAATCCGAGTGTTTTGTCGCGTTGGCAGGTTCCGGCGTTCCCTTTAGTAAGTCGCGACGACAAATGGCAGTGGTACGTGACAAGATGAGAGCTTTGATGAAAAGCGTTTTGATGACCTTTGACCCAGGTTCGCTCCTGAGCTAAACTCTACGGATGTCTTCGTCCTTTCCCGGCACCAGGTCGCCGATAACCCCGGGCCAACAAAGTTGAGCAGTTTCGTCGCCTTCGGCATCTG